GAATGCTTTGACAAATTCAAAGAATTCAAGAACGAAGTAGAAAAACAATTAGGCAAAAGTATTAAGACCCTCCGCTCGGATCGAGGAGGTGAATACTTAAGCCTGGAGTTCGATGACTATCTGAAAGAGCATGGGATCTTATCCCAACTCACTCCTCCGGGGACACCTCAGTTAAATGGAGTGTCTGAGAGGAGAAATCAGACTTTGCTAGACATGGTCCGGAGCATGATTAGTCTGACACTATTGCCAGAATCATTTTGGGGATATGCATTGAAAACAGCAGCACACACACTCAACAGAGTTCCATCTAAAGCTGTCGAGAGCACACCATACGAACTATGGCGTGGGAGAAAACCGAGTTTCTCGTACTTTAAGATTTGAGGCTGTGAAGCTTATGTAAAATGTCTCATGACGTGTAGTAAGTTGGAGCCTAAATCTGATAAAGTAATTTTTGTGGGATACCCCAAGGAAACTAGAGGGTATGAGTTCTATCATCCATCCGATAACAAAAGTTTTGTTGCTTGGAATGGAACCTTCCTTGAGAAAGAGTTTCTTTCTGCTATCACTAGTGGGAGAAAGGTAGACCTCGAAGAAATTCGAGAACCACAAGAGGAAATCTCGATAGTGTTGGAACATGAGCAAAGAGATCAAGCAATTGAACCTCAAATTGCTCAAGGTATACCACGTAGGTCAGACCGGATACGTAATCCTCCGGTCAGATATGGATTTCTCATGTCTGATGAAGGTGACGTCTTGTTGGTAGATGAAGGCGAACCAGAGACCTATCTCGAGGCAATTACATGCCTCGAATCCGATCTATGGCTTGAAGCCATAAAATCTGAAATGGAGTCTATGTACACAAACCAAGTCTGGACCTTGGTTGATGCGCCCGAAGGGGTAAAACCCATTGGATGCAAGTGGGTCTTCAAAAAGAAGACAGACGTAGACGGGAAGGTTCATACCTTCAAAGCTCGATTGGTAGCAAAAGGTTATAGGCAAATCCACGGAATTGACTATGTCTTCATGACACAGCCTGACGGTTTCCAAATTGCTGGTCAGTATGCCAAAGTTTGTAAACTGCAACGTTCAATCTACGGATTAAAACAAGAATCTCGGAGTTGGTACATACGTTTCGATGAAACCATTTCCAGTTTTGGTTTCGAGAAGAACTCTGATGAATCTTGTGTATACAAGAAGGCCAGTGGGAGTGTAATAGTATTCCTAATATTATATGTCGATGACATATTGTTAATGGGTAATGATATTCCCGCTCTCACTTCTGTAAAGACGTGGTTGAGCGAGAACTTCTCCATGAAAGACTTAGGGGATGCTAGTTATGTCCTTGGCATAAGAATCTACCGAGATAGATCAAGAAAGTTAATAGGTCTAAATCAAAGTACATATATAGATAAAATCCTTGATCGATTTAGCATGTCTAACTCAAAGAAAGGATCTTTACCTATGA